ACAAAGTCTCATCATGAAGCTCTAGATGGCCTGGAACTCATTGTGTATAGGCTGGCCTTGATTCACAGAGATCTGCTTTCCAAATGCTGAGTTTAAAAGTATGAGCCACATAACTTGGCCTTCTTGTTGTTGTTGTTATTATTATTAGTTTGGTTTGACAAGGTTTCTCTGTGTAGTCCTGGCTGTCCTGGAATTTACTCTGTAGACCAGGCTGGCCTTGAACTCAGAGATCTGCCTGCCTCTGACTCTCGAGTGCTGGGATTAACAGTATGCACCCCACTGCCCGCTCTTTCTTTTTTTCTTTGGAGACAATCTCACTGATAGCCCTGGCTGGCCTGGAGCTTCTGTGCAGATGAGGTCGGTCTCAGATTTGCTGTAGTTCTCCTGCTGCTGTTCCTTGGTGCTGGTGCCCGGGCTGTACCACCAGGGCTGGCCTAGAACTCACTTTTATAACAGGGCCTTGAGTACATCTTGGTCCTTTTAGTGTGTGACAGGCTTTCTTACTGTTTCACTTGTGTGTGGGAGTCTCAGCTTGCTCTCCATCTCTGTTTTCTTTTGTTTCTGACCACCCTGGCCCTCTGCTTATGCACTCCAGAATAACCCAGGATTCTTTCTGCCCTGCCAACCTGCTTGCTTACCTGACAGGCCAGCGGCTACCCTAACCACTTAGTGTGAGGATAAGACTTTCCCTTTGTGGCCACCAGGGGGCAGCCTACACCCAGCACATGACTTGAAGGGTAGGTTGGGAGCGGCCTCTGCTGGTGGGTCCTTGCTTGACCAGGGCAGAGGCTGAGACAGGGTTTCTCTGTGTAGTTTTGGTGCCTGTCGTGGATCTCGCTCTGTAGACCAGAGGGAAAGTGGCCGGTTCCACGTTATGAAGGCAGTGATGGAATTGTCCCCATTCCTGTGAAGCTTGGGCCTCTCGGCTGAGCCGCGGCTGCCCTCTCTGATGAGGTTGGTTCTAGGACAAGGGTATTCCTAGGACAAGGGCACAGACTCTCAGCAGGTGTCTTGGCTTTTGGGAATCGCAAAGGGAAAAGGACATTACCCTTAGAAGCAGACACAATGGAGCTTGTTCCTCATCCATAACTTCCCACACATTCCAGCCCAGGGCCGGGGCAACTCATCTTCAGCTGGCTGGAGGACACCGGAGGCTTCTGGATTCTGAGAGTCTCAACCTAGCTAAGGACCCCGGGCTCTTCTTTCTCCCCAGTTCCCATCCCAGACCACGGAGGCATTTCTTTCAGAAGTCTTAGTTCTCGCCCTCCTCCTACTTTATTCAGAATTATACACTGTGGCAGTTTGAGTGAGAAACGTTATCCATAGGCTTATGTATTTCAGCGCTCGGTCCCTGGTTAGCGCTTAGTGTCATTATTTAGGGATATTACAGAACCTTCAGGGCAGCATTTCTCAACCTGTGGGTCATGACCCCAGGAAGGGGAACGACCCTTTCACAGGAGTCACCTAAGACTACCGAAAACACAGATATTTACTTCATGAGTAGTAACAGTAGCAAAATCACAGTAATGAAGTAGCAATGGAAATATCTTTGTGGTTGGGGTCAGCACAGCATGAGGAGCCGTATTAAAGGATCACAGCATGAGGAAGGCTGAGAATCAGTTTTAGGAGGTGGATGAAAGTTTAGTCTCAACTCGCCTCTAGTTTGTCCTCTTTGCTTTCTGATTGTGGTTCAAGATGTGATCTCTCGCAGGGCAGTGTTGACGCACGCCTTTGATCCCAGCACTCGGGAGGCAGAGCCAGGTGGGTTCGAGGCCAGCCTGGTCTACAAAGCGAGTTCCAGGACAGGCTCCAAAGCTACATAGGGAAACCCTGTCTCGAAAAAAACAAAACCAAACAAACCAAACAAACAAAAAAACCCAAAAAAGTGATCTCTCCACTTCCCGCTCTGGCCGCCTCCTACCATTATGTAGGGAAAATAAATTCTTCTCTAAGTCGATTTTAGCCACAGTGTTTGATCACAGCAACCGAAAAGCAATGAATACATACACCAACCAACAAACTTACCAGGTGTACAGATTAGCCAGGCATGGTGGGGCATGCCTATAAATCTCGGCCCCTGAGGGGCAGAGGGCATTGCAAGTTCAGAGCCAGGATGATCTACATAGTGAGTTCAGGGCCAGCTAGGGATAAAAGCAAACTTGTGTCTCAAAAAAAAAAAAAAAAAAGCCAAAAAGGGAGGCTAAGATGAGGTGGAGACACAGAGGAAGAGTCAGTCCAGCACTGACCTCTGGCCTCGGTGTATACGCATGCTCACATGTGAACATGAGCAACCCCTGCCCCCAGAGAAGGGGGTGGTGGGATTAAAGGTGTGTGCCACCTGCCACCACTACCCAGCCCTGTTTTCGTTTTAAAGGAGCACATTGAAATTTTTTTTCCCTCGGAGAGAGCTCTAAGATTTAAAAGTTTTTTGTTTGGTTGGTTTTTCAAGACAGCCAAGACCACACAGGTTTTATTCTAAATTTTATTTCATTATTATTTTGTTTTTGTTTTTTTGTTTTTTGAGACAGGATTTCTCTGTGTAGCTTTGCACCTTTCCTGGAACTCACTTGGTAGCCCAGGCTTATTATTTTATTTTTAAAGATTTATTTATTTATTATGTATACAGCGTTCTGCCTGAGTGTATGCCTGCACGCCAGAAGAGTGCACCAGATCTCATTACGGATGGTTGTGAGTCACCATGTGGTTGCTGGGAATTGAACTCAGGACCTCTGGAAGAGCAGCCAGTGCTCTTAACCTCTGAGCCATCTCTCCAGCCCCTATTCTAAATTTTAAACTGTTTTTACTATCATTGCTGTGTGTGTATGATGGGGTGTGGGGATGGATGGTAGAGGTCAGAAGACAGCTTTGTGGGGTCCCCCCTCCCCTTTCACTTTACATGGGGTCTGAGGTCTAACTCGGGCCATCAGGCTATTGTGGCAGCGCTCTGACCTGCTAAGCCATCTCGCCAGATTTTTAATTTTTTTTTGACAGTGTCTCCTGTAGCCCAGATTAGCTTCAAACTCACCATGTAACCAGGGGTGAGGATGGCCTTCACCTTCTGCTCCTTCTGGCTCCAAGTACCAGGACTACAGGCACGTGGGCCCTACCCTTTTTCTTTTTCTTTTTTTTTTTTTTAAGATTTATTTATTATGTATAGTGTTCTGTCTGCATATATCCCTGCAGGCCAGAAGAGGGAGCCAGATCTCATTACAGATGGTTGTGAGCCACCATGTGGGTGCTGGGAATTGAACTCAGGAGCTCTGGAAGAACAGCCAGTGCCCTTAACCACTGAGCCATCTCTCCAGCCCCCCTTTTTCTTTTTTAAAGAAAGGGAAGGAAAGCAAGCTTCCATCTTTACACACAGCCAGGCTTCTGTGTGTGTGGGGTGTAGGCTGGAGCAGCAGTGGACAGGACATTCTGTGACATAGCCCCCTTGGCCCCCACAGTCCGTGGAGAGAGCTATCTCTAAGCCTTTGCCTGTGCCCGACCGTCTCAGGGCCCTTTACTCTTCCCTTCAATGGCGCAGCTCAGACTGACTGGGTATCTGGCTGTGACCTTTCTTCTCTCTGTCTCCAGACGCTTTGATTCCGACCTTTGATACACAAACGCTTACCAGGCGTTTGAAGGCCAACATCTGTATTTTTATCTTGTTACTCGCATGGGAGAATCACTGGCTCCCTTGAAGGCCACTGGGATTTTATAGTGTTAACTCTTCCATTTACGTCTATACTCCACTTCTGATTAATTTTATTGTGGTTAAGACACGATCTAGCTATACAGCATGTCCTGGTTTCAAACTCAAGATCCCTCCATTCCAGGCTCTCGAGTGCTGGGCCACAGGCCCAGGCCCTGTGTTTGAGCTCATTCTTGTTATGGTCAGGGAGCAATCCAAATGCGTTCCTTTGCAGGTGGACATTCACTTGTCTTAGCACTAGTTAAAGAAAACAAAGGGGTTTATGTTGTGCTGTTTTGGAAGCTGGGCCTCATGTAGTTCAGGCTGGTCTTGAACTCCCAATCCTGCATCCACCCCCAGAGTACCGGGACTATAGGCATACAGTGCTGTGCCCAGTTCTCTCCTCATAGAATTATCTTGGTCTCTTTGTCTAAAACTCAGTGACTGTAAGTTCGGATTGAATCTGGATTCTCACTTCTGCTATTTTAATTAGGCCTCCCTTTTGAGCAGGTAACAGCAAGAGATTAAGAGTTCATCAACCAGGGTCCCCCCGGGGCCTTTTATTTGAAGAGCCATCTGGAGTAGGGGCGTACTGCTCCAGGGGTAGGTGCCCTGGTGTTTGGGAGAGAGGAGTTTAGGCTAGGGTGGGATAAGAAGACAGAATGGACAGGATGTCCCAGCCTCTCCCCACCCCTCAGGAGAAGCAGGTGTTACATTCCTGTGCCACAAACCCTGTGTGTGTGTGTGTGTGTGTGTGTGTGTGTGTGTGTGTGTGTGCGCGTGCGCGTGTGCAGAGAGGTAGGCAGAGAAAGAATGTGTATGTCTCAGCGAAGGGAGTGCCCTCCCCACCCTGCCACCCCCCTGCAGTCTGCTGGGTCGTTGGCCCACAGCTTGCCTACTTCAGCACCTCATTCTCCAGCTGCCCTGAAGAGTCTGCCAAGCCTCTACTTACACCAAGGCCAAAGGCATTAGGGCTCAAAATAGCCAGGCCATGGAGCCCTGGAGCATGCCCAGGGAGAGAAGTGGGGGCAGACACCCAGCCCCCTTCCCCGGTCGGTCGGGCTCCACAGCGAAGGGAAGGGAGATAAAGGCTGGCGAGCTCGGCAAAGCTAACTTGGCTCCCTGGAGCGGGAAGGCGCCTGGGAAACTTGAGATAAGGCGCTAATTTCACAAACTAACTGCCCAGCCAGGGCCATGGCAACTGTGGCCTCGGATCAGGAAGAGAAGCAGAAATGCTGGCAGCGGGAAGAGGGTGTGGGTACCAGATGGGTGGGCTCCAGAGGGCTCAGCGAGGCTGACGGGGGCTGTGCAGGGCCAGGCAGCCTGGTGAGAGTCAAACACACTTTATTCAGCACAAGGATGTCTGAACAGAAGGTTTCGAGCAGGGTCTCTGACACAGAGCTCTGCTTCAGGCCTCACTGTAAACAGAGCCAAGGTCGTCGTCGTGTAAACTGGACACTAAGGAGAGGGGGTTCAGGACAAGGTCACAGTGGGCCAGCCCTGCCTGGGCGAGTGTGTGAGCAGCTCTCGGGGGTGCCACGGTGGGGGTGGGAACGAGCCTTGCTGATTTAGTGTTACCTCCCAAAGAAGGCAGTGAGTGAACTGAGCGGGAGCAGCCGGGGCTGCTGGGTCGGTACATGATTAGAAGGGTCTGAGGTCCACAGGCAGGAGTACACAAGGTGGGTGACAAGGCCTGGCAGCCTGCACAGCGCTCACCACACCTGCCCCGGCAGCCTACCAGTCAGCCACCTCCAATTAGCAACTGGGAAATGACATTGACCTTCCCTGCCCAGGACAGCACTCCTGAAACCTGGGGTCAGTATGGGAGCTGGGGAGAGACTATCAGTGGGCAGATTAAGGCAGGCCTGCCGGCAGAACCAACCTTACTGACCACAGCCTCAGGACATCATGATCAGGACGGGGAAGGGCTCAGGGCTGCACCAGGAGAGTGCCAATTTTAACCTCTGCCCTGGGATGTAGTGTGGGGCAAGGCCCATTCATGCAGACTGGATCGAGGAGGGTATCTGAGGTCGGGAAGGCCCGGATGTCATGTCGGCGCACATGACAGTTAGACCTTGCCCTTCCCGGGGATGCTATGCTGGACCAAGAGGGCGGGGAGAGGAGGCTGTCTAGGAGGGTGGTGCTGGTCATCCTGGGACCTTTGGGGTGACCAGGAGAAGCCACTCATCATGGCCCAGATGGGGCCAGCTGAATTTCCTATGAGTACCAACTGGAGGGGGGATGGGCAAAGGATGACAAGACCATCTTCCTGACTGTCCCTGCTAACTGGAGTGGGGTATGTTCCATAAACCACGTCTCCTTCTAGGAGGGAACCTGTTTTGATCTTCCTCCAAGGCGTGACCAAGAACTACGGACTGAAGAGGAACCCCTTGCATCCTGAGGGCTCTGAGCCCCCCAAGTTGGCTCCCCAGCAGGGTGTAGAGTAGGGCTGTCTGTCTGGAGGCCAGGAGGCCAAGACTGGTGCCACGGGGTGGGTGGGTATCAGGCACAGCGCCATCCAACTCTCACCAGGAGGTCCAACTTTCTGTATAGTAGGAAGTCTGCACATTACACACAAGGCTTGGGGCAGAGACCCAGGGAAACCAGCGCTACCTAAGTGACTCACAGCTGGGGCAGGCGAGGTGGGGGTGACACAAACGCCCTGGTATCCAGGAATCACAACCAACAGGCAAGGGGAACACAGACGATCACCGGAGAGGCAAGCAGGACAGCTGCTTCGGGCATGCGCCCTGCCAGGGATTCACTCATCAAACTTCCCCTCCCGGATATGCTCAAAGGAGAAAGGGAGGAACTTGAAACCGGTCCCGGTGTAGAATTTATTCTGGAATTCCACCCTGGAAAGAAGAGGAGTCGAGTCACCATTTCACAGAGGAACTAAGGTAGGCTGAGTGTGGTGGCACATACTCCGCCCCAGCCCCGGGAGACAAGGACCTATGGCCAGCCATGGTGAGACCCTGTCAAAAAATAAAATGGCTAAATGGCTCAATGGTTAAGAAGAGCACTTGCTGTTCATGCAGAGGACCCGAATTTGGGTCCCACCACACACATGACTGCTCACAACTGCCTGTAACTCCAGCTTCTGGAGATCTGACACCCTCTTCTAGCCTCCAATCCGCCAGACACATAAATATTTAAAAAATCAAATAATAAGGAAATAAGAGGGTCCCACCATGTTGCCCAGGCTGGCCCTGGACTCCTGGGCTCTCGCTTCCACACTAGCTGGGACCACGGGAAGGCCACCCCGCCTGCGCAGAGCCAACCCTCCCTCCCACCCTGCTCCTGGGTGAGCCTGAGAAAGCCCTGCTCTCCTGGGTGAGCCTGAGAAAGCCCTGCTCTCCTGGGCGAGCCTGAGAAAGCCCTGCTCTCCTGGGTGAGCCTGA